ACAGTACAGTGTAACCCGGATATAAGAGAGTTGTCGGGACCGGAGAAGAAGTCTCTTATATCCGGGTTTCTCTTATATCCGGATTTGGTCTATTTTATATACATTAACACAGGCTCTAATTTGGGACCAGAGAAAATCTCTCTTATATCCGGATTTGGTCTATTTTATATACATTAACACAGGCTCTAATTTGGGACCAGAGAAAATCTCTCTTATATCCGGGTTTCTCTTATATCCGGATTTGGTCTATTTTATATACATTAACACAGGCTCTAATTTGGGACCAGAGAAAATCTCTCTTATATCCGGGTTTCTCTTATATCCTGGTCTCTTATATCCAGGTTACACTGTACATATTATGATTGCATAAGACATTGTTATTGCTGTTGTTATTGTTGTGATGGTGGTTGTTTATTTATTTATTTCTGTTGAGCAAAATCTATTAGGAAGTCATTACCCAAGACCAAGCTTTCAAATCTATGCCATTTTGTTTGCACAGATTCTGATGATAAGTGATACTTAACATGCACAATATACGGTGTTCATATTTTCTTTGCATTCATAAGACTCTCCCGAGGAGATGAGAAATTTACACAAGGCATTTTTTTTTTATAATGTTCTTGCAATTATTATTTTATTCTTACTGTTTTGTTGTTGTTATTGTTGCTGCTGCTGTTTTTTGTATGGACAGCTGTTACACATTTCTAGCTAATATCAGAGTGTAGTATCTGTTTAATCACCAGCCCTTCTGTGGTGGAATCCCTCACACTTTCTGGCAGAGGAAATTACGCGGCAAGGATCTGTGAAAAGTTAGTGAAAATATGAAGGGAAAAAAAGCATTTAAAAGAAGGAAAAGTAGATAAATTGAAAGGAAAACACGGTGAAAGTACAAGCACACACACACACACACACGCATACATACATATATATATATATATACACACACATATATATATATACACACACATATATATATATATATATATACACACACACACACATATATATATATAATTATTTTTTATAAAAAAATTTATAACATAATTATGTTATAAAATCACTACAAAAATAACCATTTTGTTTCAACACCCTCGGTGTCTTATCGAGTGATGATGTTCAAGATAAAATAAATGGTTTTAAAATTTCAGATTAATTAACGTTCCTTCGCTAGGGGGAAACATTATTACAATAGCTAGAATGACCAATCAAAACCCAAGTATAGGAAGATTCAAAAGCTTGACAACGAAATCATGTTATAATAGCTATTCAGATCTTTTAAATACGGGCAATATTAAAAAAGAATTTATTCTAACCAATAATTATTAAATTATATGATAAAATTTGATATTAAAATTAAAAACTGCCAATTTTAAAATCCAAATTTAATCACTATTAAGTTTAAAAACTATATAATTACTGAGGAGAAAAGAAAAAATACATGTGTTATGCAATTTATTTCATCGTTGAAATTACGTTAGAACAGACGCTACAATATTCGGTCATCCGACAATACATGTATATATATTTTAATCCCAAGTGTGTGAATGGGGCCTTAAACTCACGCGCAAAACAACACAAACACAATCAGATTATAATACATAAGCACACAGACATATTTAGATATATATACACACAAAAAAAGCGACGAGACAGGAACATCTTCACGGTTACTGGAATTCATTCCGTATATACCAATTATATACTTGGCTATATATATATATATATATATATATATATATATATATATGAAGAAATATATTCTTAAGGTGTGCTGTATTTATGGGATAATGTGCTCAATAACAGCGATAGAGCGTGTGTAAATATAAAAGTGAACATTGAAGTCGACAGGCTTTTTCATGCTAGACGCAATCGTCAGGCCACGAGTGTTATTTTGCAAAATAACCGCCAAAATAGACTACCCACAATTCACAACTGACCCGTATATTTAAATAGCCGAGAAAAAAAACAACACTCGTGGCCTAACGATTGCGTCTAGTATGAAAAAGTCTGTCGACTCTAAGCGTTGACTTCAATGTTCAATTTTATATATTTCGTTGGTGTATAATCCAAGTGAATCCTAATAATATAAAATTTTAAAACTGATTCACATACAGCTCAATATTTTATTCAATCTTAATTCCTATTATATGTAATATATATATATATATATATATATATATATATATATATAGAGAGAGAGAGAGAAAGAAAGAGAGAGAGAGATATACTTATATATATATACATATATATACATACTTAAATATATATATATATATATATATAGAGAGAGAGAGAAAGAGAGAGAGAGAGAGAGAGATAGATATATATATACTTATATATATATACATATATATACATACTTAAATATATATATAGAGAGAGAAAGAGAGATAGAGATAGATATATATATTATATATATATATACATATATATACATACTTAAATATATATATATATAGAGAGAGAGAGAGAAAGAGAGAGAGAGAGAGATAGATATATATATACTTATATATATATATATATATATAGAGAGAGAGAGAAAGAGAGAGAGAGATA